TGGACTTGGGAGGTTCCCAAGATCACCCCCAAGTCCCATGATTCACTAGGAGCAACCACAGGACTCAGCATGTAGTTGTATCACTGCTATGGTGTATTGCAGTGAAAGGATGTAAAGCACAATTAGCAAAGGCAAAAGGCACTTGAGGTGGAATCCAATGGAAACCAGGTCAAGCTTCCAAGGATTTGCTTCCAGGAGCCACACAAGATGCATGTAATTACCCCAGTAACAGGCTGTGACAACACATGTGAAATGTTGCCAATCAGGGATGCTCTCTCAGCACCCAGGGTTCTTACTAGAAGCTGGTCATGGAGGCAGCCTCTGCCAGAATTCCAGGCTTCCAGAAAGAAAGCAGGCGTTCAGCAGAAAGCATATTATCTGTACAAACAGTTTAGGCGCGATGAATCGTTCTCATCAGTCAATGGTTGCAACCATCCCCAAATCTAAGTTCCCAGAAGGCAGCCAAGGGCCAGGCTTGCAAGCAAACCTTTCCAAGACAGAAGTTTAGGCCTGCTATGTTAACTCTTTTCTGCACAACTACATTAGAAACACTATAAAAGTTTCAGAATTTTATAACAATAAACGTTAATCTTTCTCATTTAGCTCTAGGGCTTGGTTGTGCTAGGCTAGACTTCAGGCTTTGTGTTTGGTTCAGGTCTGCCCTGCAAATTTTCATGATTCCGAGAACTTGGGCTCCCCGAAGGCATATCTTTTTATGCAGGTGGCAGAAATTCAAGCTCAATCATGCAAACAATTTTAAGGTCTCTGCTTACATCACACCTCTTAATATGCCATTAGCCAAAGTGAGTCATATAGCTTAGACCAACATTTCCTTGATCTACTATGATAGGGAGAGCTGCAAAGTCATATGGCAAGGGTTGTGAATGTATAATCCCTCACAGGGAGGGATTAAATAATTGGGAAAAATAATGCAATCTACCACAATACCCTAGAGACCCTACCAAAATCAGAGGGCAAATGAGGTGGGAAGCATCACCTTGTCACCTATGAAAATGGTATTTCTTATTCTTAGTGTGCTCATTAGTTTATGCCAACACCTATACCCTAAGGAGCCTTGAAGCAGGCAGGAAAAATCATGAAATTTTAGTAATATACACAAGTTCTTTAGCAATATAATAATAAAAGTAAATTTTATTAATTTTACATTAATCTGTGCTTACCATATGTCAAGAGTGTTACATGCAAGATTTCATTTAGTCCTTGGTTGATGCCGTTAATCCCATTTTACAGATTAGAAAACAGAGGCCTAGAGACCTGCCCAAGGTCATAAAGCTTGTAGGTGGTAAAGCCAGGATCTGAATCCAGGCAGCCTAGATCCAGGGCTTGTGCTTTTAAATATTATATGTTAAGTGCAGCGCTTGGGCATATATACCAGATAGTAATGCTTTAATATTGGAGAACAAAAATGTTGCAAAATTGTGAAAGCACTATCAAACCTGCACATGATTCACATGGGCTCAGAGAGCCAAGACTTAATTTGTAAATAAGAGAAAATTTTTATCTTAACTAAAATATGAAGAAAACCTGACTTTTTTCTCATAGAAACATATCAATATACAATAGCTCAACTGTTTGATTTCAATGTTTTTTAAATTCAAACACTTCTTGTCTTCGAAGAGCTACTATATCCTTTCTACTTCCTAGACTAGGTAAAGTATCTGCTACATGTACTATCTCTTATGATATGTAAAGGTGGTGATAACATTCTCACTAAACAAATATATTTGACTGCAATCAACAAATAATTTAACAACTAAGAAGTATGTCCTTTATGAAGCAAGGATTCTGTAACGCACACATAGTACTTCTAACACATCCAGAGTTTCTGGTTCCTCCCTCAGCGATTAGGGGGAGGTGCATGTTCATCGCAGACATTCATTCCTCTTAAATTGCTTTCTAAGCTTAGTAAACAATGAAAGTATTATACTATTTATCAGAAATCACTAAGGACCTAATGTTAAAGAAGCAATGGTCTGCCAAGTGTCTCATTTGAAGACGTGTAATGCTGTTGTAGGAGTTAAAATCTTGGGTCTACCTGAGTGAGCAGATTAAGGACCCACTGTAGGGAGTTCAGAGGGTTACTGATAACACAAAACATTATCTAGACATACTCAGCTTGGAAAACACAAGATATACATGACAGAACATCTCTGTCCTCAAAGAATACCATTACCTAATATAGGCTAAAAGTTAGAAATGAAAAGGAAAACAGAAAGGACATTGCCAAAGGCCAACTACTTGAAAACAAGTTTAAGAAAGTGAGGTCTGGACATGGGCAGTGCGGAGAGGCGGACTGCATTCTCCCATAAGGTCCAGGCACTGGAAACCAGGGCGCATCTACTCCGGGAAAGAGGAGAGCGCTTAGTTCCGTGTTTTTGTTTATAACAAATCCTCACTTTCTCTGCTAGTCTTCCAGGAGCTCTGTCCCTTATCTGGAAAGGGTGACTTCCCTGGCCAGGGAGAAATAAAAGACCAGGAGCTCCAAATCGGTGTACCAGGTCCTCCAGGAGAGAGAACAGTGATACAGGGGAAAGCACTAACTGCTGGCAGATTTCCATTTGGATTAAAGCCACGTTCAAATATTTTAATGGAAAGAGAAACATACACTTTCTTAATTTAGTAGGTATAAGTTATTCAAATTATCACATCAAGTTGTCCCTATAATATAATTTTAACAAACAAAATTTTCCCATGGGAAGTACTTCAATATGCGTAGAATAAATTTCAACAAAATTAAAATGTCACTCCTAAGAATATGAAGTACTCTATGAATCCTGTATAGAGGCAACCCTATTTTTAGTTATCACTTTAGAACTTTATATACCACTACTTGCCATTAATGAAGATTTGAAAGGAAATAAGTAATTTCTTAACATAAACTCAACTTCAATACAATTAACAAAGTAGCATATTTATTCACAAAAATCCTTGGGGGAAAAAACTTAGTAGATTAAATAATCAGAATTCTTTCTTTTAAGGGCTAACACTTTTCAGAAAAATTCCCAAAGATATCACAGCCCAACCTAAGCATGGGAACGTTCCTTAGTGGTTCCTCGGTTTCCAGGGCAAGTCCCACCCACCTGGCAGGAATTTCTGCTACGGCATTTACAGGCAGCGTTCCAGGGTCTGCCTGAACGCTTCCAGTGATTGGGAGGGTGGAGTTTACTCTCCATGGTCCAGCCTGTTCTATTGCAGGTGAGCTCTGATTGTGGAAAAGTTCTTTCTGCTGAATAGAAATCTATATTCTTTTTTTTAAGTGTACTGATTGACTTGAGAGAGACAGAGAAACATCGATTTGTCGTTCTACCCATTTATGCACCCGTTGATTGATTCCTGTATGTGCCCTGACCGGGGATTGAACTCACAACCTTGGCGTATTGGTATGACGCTCTAAACAACTGAGCTACCCAGCCAGGGTGAAATCTATATTCTTGAAATTTCAACCCAGTGGGTATAGTTCTATCGTCTATAAGCACCTCAAATTCCAGTTCTTCTGCTCCTTAGTTGGAAGTGGCTGAGAACAGCATAGCAAGTCCCATCACTTTGCGACTTGGAGTGTGAGGAGGAGAGGGCAGGTGTGTGACAGAGCAATGGAAAAGGTGATGGAAGATAACCAAGCATTTGGTTCACAGAATATTTTATGCCAGATTCAGTGACAAACATAGATATAACCCAAGACTACAAAAGATAATGTGTGTATGCGTGTATATGTATTTGTGTTTGTATACATGTGATGCATATGAGTGTATATGTGTAATCTATGACTATGAGTATGTAAATATGTGTGTGTGTTATGTGTGGTATATAAAATGATAAGCCAACTAATAGGAAAATCTTCAAACTATGTTCAATAAGGAAATGCAAACATGGGTTTTTAAAATATTATTTTAACAAAAATATAAAATACACACAGCTGCTCAGCATTGCAGGAGCTGTTAACAGACTAGAGAGGATGAAGGGAATTCAATAAACTTATGTTTATATTATGGCAAAAATATGATTATTTCAAAATACCTGAATCATTAAATGTCAAGTTTATTATCTAGACATTTGCTAGCAAGTGGATGAAGAAGTTCCCAACCAGTACATCAAAATCAATCCATCACTCTACTAGGTCTCTTTCTGCCAGTTTCTGCTGGGATTCTTAGCACGGAGGTGTGGGCCAGCAGCACTGCACCTTCCTCAGGACTCACCCTCCCAGTCCCTCTCCTCCCTGACAGCTTTGGGCTTCAGAGAACCGAAAAGCAGCAATTCCTCACAGGAAGTCTGGGCTGCCCTCAGGTGAACACAGCCCCCAATGGAAGGATGCTCAATTATTAAAGAAGAGCTACAATGTGCTCATTAGATTTCAAGACAAGAAAGAAAACAAACATGCAGAAAACTTTTCCACAAACACAGAAAACCATTTGGGTAAATTGTCAGGATATCTAGTCAGTAGAATGCAATCTAGAATTAATCAAAATGTTATGAAATTTTATTCACCAAAAAGAATAAGACTATATTTAGATCTAACAAGGTAAAACAATAACCCTACATAAATAGTTTTAGGTATCATAAATTATAAACAATTAACTGGATAATGAAACAACTCTTTTTCTAGGTAATACATAAACTCATTCTAAACTGTATGGCCTGGTAAAGTAAAAAATCATTAATTTTGACCCATGGACCAAACCTGACACACCACCTGATTCTGTTTGTGTCAAAAATTGCCTACGCCTGTTTTTATGCTACAACATCAGAGTTGAGAAGTTGCGACAGAGACTCTCCTGGCTCCCACAATCTAAAACATTTATTCTCTCTGCCTTTGCAGACCCTGCCCTATATAATCAGAGATCTGGAAATAAACATTTTGGCCACATTGCTGAATCATGATGATCTCAAACCAGAACTTTCCTTGCTTTATCATGTAGGGCCTTCATTAGAAACCAACAACAAAAAGCACAGAGCTGGAGAAATGAAACAATTGTTCTTCCTACCTGTTTTCTATCCTCTTCTTCTGAATTGCTAGTGACAGCCTGGACATTTTTGCTGGTTCTGCCGAGTCGGTAACCTTCCAACTTTTCTTGATTGGACAACTTGTTCTTTTGATCTGCTGTGCTTTCCTCATCACTTCCTGGATTATTTTTCCATTCTTTCATCATTTCTAACACATTGGTAGGTCTCACCGAAGAAAGTGTATTGCCCTAATGTTAAACAATGATTTTTGGTGTTATAAACAGTCTGGAAAATTCAAAGGAGTCTTAATCTTTTAGTAATATATTCTCCCAAATTCTGTAAGTCACGTAGGAAAATTATAATGCTGAATAAATGGCAAAACTGGTGATACCTATTGGAGCACCCTCCCTGTATGAAAGGGCATGACAGGGCAATTCCCTGGATTCAAAGGCCTCCTTATAGCCCTGTTCTTACAAAAGTAAAAGGGAAGCAGAAAGGATGAAAGGAGTTCCCCAAGGTCTGGTGGGTCCCACACTAAGGGCAAGGCTATAGAATACCGAAGTGTCTAGGTAAAAAAATCTAACTTAAGTTGATTAGTCAAGTTCTGTGTCCAAGAATATAGATGTTAGATTTGAAAGCTCTTAGTTAACTGGGAGATTTAGATATAAGGTGGTCAATTGATTTATAACTGATTCAGTGCATTGTTTTTATCCCAGATGTGACAATACAATACCAAAATTGACTACTTTATATTACTCACTTGTTCTCAAATATAATATTCCATTTAATGCCAAGAAATCCATGCATGCAGTCTCAAATGTTTCTGCTAGACTAGGTTTGTCTTAAATACTTTTTCTCATAACTCAGACTAGTAGAGAAAGTTTGGATCACATTTAGATGAAAATGGAAAGTTCAGATGTAAGTACAGCTATGGAGTGAATGAATTTGGTATGTGGGTGGATTGAAGCATTAAACGTCAATGACACAGAATACTATGAGACAGGGTACTCTAAAAGCCACCATCTGAGTATACTGTTGAGGATTTGTAAAGTTTAATGTATTTGTGGTTAAAGGCAAACATTAAGTAGTAATGACTAAATGAGGATCTAGTTATGCAAGCAATTCCCTGTGATTCTTTTATTTCATTCTATTTTAAGAAGGTTTATATTCTTACCAGTTTCATAGTACCCTACTTTTCGCTGCACTTATGCATCCTCTACCATTTACTTCCAGAATGCCCTAATCATGCCTTCTGCCAACCCATGGCCTACATTTCTTTCAAGGCTCAATTTGAGAGCCATCTCTGTTAACTTTCAGAGATGCTCTCAACTTACATGTAAATAAAGCATAGAAAGAGGCTAAAAGACCATAAAAGAGTTGAAATCATTTAGAATGGGACATAGTCTCAGAGCTCTCACCTGAATGAGCTCTGGTCTCCAGGGCTCTGTCAACAACTCTGCTTGATCCCTATGATCCATCTAGCCTCTATTACAACTTGCTGGCTTCTCCTTGACCTTTAACCCTAATTTTCATGTAATCACAGCGTCCAGAGTTCTGGAAGACTAGTACATACAACTTTGCCTCAACTTGACTATTTCGCTATCAGGCAGAGACAATCGAACATGTATGTCTGTAATCCCAATCCTCAATTACCTTTTCTGATTTACTCCCCATAAATCAACTCTTTGGATACTATAGTAGTTACTAATGCTGCTCACCCAACATTCCTTTCTTTGAAGCACATGGTAGAATTTTACTTCTCTACCTCTTTTGAGACATGACTATGTGACTTGTTTTGGTCAGTAGAATATGATTGGAAATGATATGTATCATTTCAGGGTGGAAACTTTAAAAGATAGCATGCAATTCATCATGTTCCTAATTCTTACCTTGGTAACTATAAAAGCACAGAAATGAGGCCTCCCTCAGCCTGGGTCCTAGAGTGGGCACAGAAATGAGGACTCTCCTCCTTCCAGACAATGTGGGGGGGAAGGCATCAAGAGTATGGAGATTTGGGGGTCACTTGTTACCACAGCATAATCTAATTTTTTCCATTGATTAAATTGCTGTGCATAGTTTCAACCTGCACTAGTTTTACAGTCCTGCACTATTGTGCAAAGCAAGACTTGCCTGTATTATCTTGAATCGGCCTCTCTAGCAATCTCTCAAATGCTCAGTTTACATACACATACACCCAAGAGCTTGACCAACACTCTACATGCCTAAAGGAAAGTGCCTTTGTACTCAATGAAATTACCCTATTTGTCATTCCAAAGAGATGGTAGGGAAGAGCAAAGAATCTAGAATAGAAGCATTATCACCTCAAAAACAATCTACTATTTGGAAAATTTTAACTTTTTCCTTCCTATATCCATTTGTGCACAAATGATAGTATCGATTCCAGACTTTCCCTGTTGTCTAAAGTCCAGCCAATAACTTACTAGACTCTCCCCTTCTAGCTGCCAGTAATTGCAAACGGAATCACATCAAATGCTTGGATTGACCAATGAGTAAGTGGCCCAGGGTTGTGTGTCATCGGGGTTCTAGGTTCAACAGAAATTACAAATGAACCAATGAACCAAACAAAAATGGGTGGAATTGTTAGGACAGACACTGTGGATTGTATGTCATCTCACCATCAGAACACTGACCCTTGAACTCTCTTTGCTGGCTGTTTTCAGGGGGCCAGACACTGAACTCATCAACTATGAAGGAGCAAATGGCAAGAAAGCAGCAGAAATAGGTGGATAATCTGAGGCTATCACAAGTACAAAACCAACATTTTGGTTAACTGATAGCTGAGACTATTTTATGAAAAACTGGAAATATGGACATTCATGGAGAAGCATTGGTCTGATACTAAGATTTGGATTTAATACTTTAGTAGACAGGTTCCACAAATGCAGACCCAAATGTATGTCTTCATCTAACAAAATTTGCCTTTTCAAGGACAGTGCCTATCAGTATTTTGTAAACAATAGGTATTTTTTAAAATATACTTTATTGATTTTTTACAGAGAGGAAGGGAGAGGGATAGAGAGTTAGAAACATCGATGAGAGAGAAACATCGATCAGCTGCCTCCTGCACACCCCCTACTGGGGATGTGCCTGCAACCAAGGTACATGCCCTTGGCCGGAATCAAACCTGGGACCCTTCAGTCCGCAGGCCGATGCTCTATCCAGTGAGTCAAACCAGCTAGGGCAATAGGTATTTTTTAAATAAATGAATGATATGTATGAACTAGGGTAAGATGTTATATAACATAAAATTGGCAAAACTAAAAGGAAACAGTCTGGTTCTTTAGCTTATAGTCACCATTTTCTACTTTTTGTAAATAGCTAGAGCACTTCATTTTATAATCTTTCTAGGAATAATTTTTTCAATAGAAAAATGGAAGTCAATTTATTTTTTAAAAACATACAAAATCCAAATCAAAATGAGATACCAATTTTCACCTAATAGATGGATATAATTTAAATTTGCTAATACCTTGTTGGTGAGGGTGAGGGTGAGGGTGTGGGGACACAGGCTCTCTCATTTACTTGCTTTTTATGGAAGAGTAAATTAGTAATAATCTGTGTGCAATGCCCATTCTCTGGCCAGTCAGCCCACTGTTAAGAATTTATCCTATAGATTTGCTGACAGTATATAAATATATATTTACAAGAACATTTTTGCTATTAATCCTCACCCAAGGATATGTCTTTCACTGATTTTTGACAGGGAGGAAAGAAGAGAGAGAAACATCGATGTGAAGGACATAGATTGGTTGCCTTCTGGATGCACTCTTATGAGGAATAGAACTCACAACCTAGGTTTGTACCTTGACTGGGAATCGGATCTACAACTTTTCAGGGTACAGGACGACACTCCAACCAACTGAGCCACATTGGCCAGGGCTACAAGGACATTTATTGTACCACTGTTTGTAATAGGAAAGATATGAAACAATTTGAATGATCTACTAGTATATTCACTGGGAATTATTTACAAAATAATTGTGTATCCAGAGTTGGGGATACAATGCTGGTTTGTTTTTGTTTTTAATAAGAAAATATTTCCAAGATATATTAGATAAAAAAGAATAGTTTGCATAATATGAACCCATTGGGTAAAGTACATACACAAAATATGCAGAATGTTTTTGAAAGAACACATAAGAGATTTAACAACAGTTATCTTTAGTAAGAGGGAATGAGGTTAATGGAAGGAGAAAGTTATTTTTTCTGTTTACCATGGTTAATTTAAACTATTTTATATGACTAATAATTAATGTAAATTACAGTAGGAAAAGAAATAATGTAAGTTGCAGATACCCACAAAGAACTGATAGCACCCAATAAAATCACGAAACATGTCCTAATGGTTCTCAATGAGGCCAAGGCAACAGCATATCAAGGTAATAACAACCACTAAAGTAAGCAATTGTATGCCACTTTAACATTTTTCAAGTCATTGATTTTTTCCCCCCACGAGTATAGCAACTACATGAGTAGACAGGTAGGTGTTGATATTCCTATTCTTCAGGAGGAAACAGCCTGAGAAATTTAGTAATTTGCCATTATTCCAGAAACACATTTTCAATTGCCTGCTAAGAACTTCTAGCTAGAGGTGTTGCTGAGCCTTCAATACTGTATGGCATGTGCTTAAGTTGCTCAGAGAGTGTATCTTAAAAGTTCTCATTGCCAGAAAAAAACCCTATAACTGTGATATGACAGAAGTATTAACTAAACTGATTGTGGTAATCATTTCCTAATAAATGCATTTATCAGGTCATTATGTTGTACACCTTAAATTTTACAATGTTATATGTCAACTAGAGGCCCGGTGCACGAAATGCATGCACGGGGGGCGGAGGATTCCTCTCAGCCCAACCCACACCCTCTCCAATCCGGGAGCCCTCAGGGGATGTCCTACTGATGGCTTAGGCCCACTCCCTGTGGTTCTCTGCAGGGCCTACCTGCTCAATGCCGCGGCAACGGGCAAGCAGGCCCTGTTGTCTGCTCTCTGCAGGGCCACTTGCCAGCTCTCCCGGTTGCTGCGGTGACCCGCAAGCAGGCCCTGCTGTCTGCTCTCTGCAGGGCCACTTGCCAGCTCTCCCGGTCGCTGCGGCAACCCGCAAGCAGGCCCTGCTGTCTGCTCTCTGCAGGGCCACTTGGCAGCTCTCCGCCGGCGGGACTAAAAGGACTGGAGGACTCCTGGGGGCAGGTCCAGCTGCACCGCCTGCCTGCCACTGCCCCGGCGGGG